GACTTGGTAAAAAAAGTAAAAAAAAAAAAAAAAAAAAAAAAAATAGGCCATTCCCAGAAACCAACTGGAACAAAAGAGACACGTTCGAAGAAAAGAAAATAAACGAGAGAGGAAGTGAGAAGGATTCAGTATCACCTTTGTCAGGTCAGAGATCTCTCTAATGAAGTCATGCACGTTCTCCAAAGCGATCCCAAAATACATTTGCTCATACCCTTGCAGGGATGAGAAAAGCGTTCCCCAGCTATTTTTTACCATATGTTTCAACAGCGTCTGAGCACTGCAAGGGTACTGTACTGTGCCATCTGGTAAACACTCCATCCACTGCTGCACAACATTTCTAGCGTATATTCAACAGACCCATTAAGTGCCGCTGACAACTGTAATGTGTATACACAGTATATTGCCATGGCTGATATTAATTGTATCCTACATTCGGTATTTTAAATGATTGGCATCGACTGATAAGTTTATCAGCCAATTCGTTTACGATAATTTGGACAACAACAGGACTTTTACTTTGACAGCGCTAACAACGATTGCACCAGTGTGCAGATGCAAGAGTCATCTATAAATCTTTGATTTCAAACTATGCTGCCATATTACCGGTCTACTTCTATGAAAGAGATGACGTATGCAGAGTGGCGGCCGGCGGAGAAACATCTCCGAGTGTTGTTCTTTGCGCGGTCTTTAACAAAAAGGAAACGTTCAAATCGCTTAATACAGACAGACGCGATAGCTGATTCGAGCGAGTGATGTTCCATGGCGGCGTCCATCTTTGTAATGTAGGCTACAAAATCTGCTTCAAAATCCCAGCGCTGCCATCATAGTGTAAAGCCCGCCCCAACATTTCTGATTGGTACCGCAATTTCGACGGATTGGAAATGGGCTTGGATGAGCTCTTTGCCAGACTAACTTTCAGAGCAAATCTAAATTTGCCAGAAATTGTCTGGGGTTTTCCCAGGCTAGATAAACTGGTCTTTATTTGACAAAAATATGATTTCCAAAGCACACAAACTTACGAGATTTTCAAAAGCACAGTTGATTATATTGTTTACTTCTTTTTATTCATGATTTTAACTATTTCTTTATAACTACAGTAGTACTGATTACAGAATCAAGTTGCTAAAGCATAAATCTGTTTATCTTAAAGCTTGATTAAAAAAAAAAAACAATGTCAAATTGATTAATTATATATAATTTAGCAAATACAAATGCAATTGCAGTTATTTACTGGATAGTGTGATATTTTATGTCTGATCTCGGTCAACAGCTACTCTACTCTCCAATACACCGGTATCAAAATTGGCCATAAAAAAATCCATATTGGTCAACCACTACTAGATTTTTCTTCTTCAGAAAGCATAATTGGTTGAGAACATGAGAAATGAACAGCACCTGGTTTCACCTGGCCTATAATACCCAAGAGCTTCCTGAAATATCTTCCCTCACCCAATCTCATGGTAGGAGGTGATGCATGATACAGAAGGGTTAAAAAATAACCTCTTTCGTTCTCTATGACCTTTCACTTCGTGCTCTCCTTACCGCCTGGAGCATTGGAGGAAGCCTCAACATGCAGCTCTTTGACACAGAGGAGACTCCTCGAACCAAAACACACCCAGAACAAGAGATGGCATAGCCCGTAGTTTCTCACGGGGCAGTAAAATGAACTCAGCGGCCGGTGTCAAATTTGTGATTTATAAAAGAACCAAAGGAAATAGCTGAAAAGCAGCTATGCAAGCCAACACAAAATGGTAATTTACGAACTGAATGCCTTCAGTCATTTCCAAAGGTCTATCCGTCATATTAAAAAGCACACGAAACATCAACTAACCTCAAGGGTCCCACTGAATGACTCACTCTTTAGGATATGACGAAGTTCATTAGCACTGTTTTTTGAAACCAATAGGCAATTTTCTGTCATTTAATCTTTGGAAACCCTCACCGACCGATTTCCCACATAACGTTTCCCTCGCTGAATGGACATAAACGTCGCCAAGTTGCATGACGTAAGTGCCAAAACTCACACTTTGTTTTCATATTTGCGTTAATCCACTCGTTTACCAAACCTAAAAAACATGACATCACTGCGAGCCGGGAGCCCCCTGTGGCATCAGGACACTTCACTTGTTTGGTTTAAATCAATCAATGCTCTTTGAGAGAATCAAACGCATGAGAAGGAGAGAGAGAGACGTGAAAGCCATTTGTTTTCTTTGTTAGGCACAAGCGGAAGACTTGAATCAATAGCCGAGGCCTGTGAATCAAACTCTGGAGGTGGTCTGCTCACAAACAAGCCGTTCTGAGTCACACGTTTTAACAAGTCATTGCTCTAGGACATGGGAGAGAATGAGAAACGCACCACTGTACAGTTCGGCCCTGATGCAGCTGTGCAGGGCATCTTAATCCATGACATTACAACATACTCAAATCACTCTTTCCTTTATGTTCTTTTTCCTAAATCCACTTCGTTGGCTGGTTTAATGTGAAACACACAGTCGTAACATGTTCCCCAGTTACATAACTTAAAGAGATAGTTCACCCAAATTCGTGTCAATACAAGTGTTTTGACCATCAATGGGGTTTATGTTGTTTTAATACCCCACTGACTTCTATTCCATGGAAGGACATGTTGTGTTCCACAGACGAAAGAATGTCTACAAGTTTGGATCGACGTAAATGATAACAACTTTGTTTGTTTTTTTCAGTTGAATTATCCTTTTAAGAAAGCTGAGTGTGTCACTGAGTTTGCGACAGAGATAGGAGAGCGAAAAATAAAAACAAAAGCGTTAAACGCCTGCTGCTTTTCCCTTCCACACAATCCAGTCATTCAAAGGCATTTCTGGTGCATGATGGGGGAAACTTCACCCACTCAGAGTTATAAGTGCATGCAACATGCCTCACTACGACACGAACAATGTCCTCTTTCACAGGCTTCGCCCCATGCTGCACATGAAGAAAAGCACACTGGGAACGGGACAGATCGCTGCCTCAGTTTGCACACACTCTGTGGAAGAACTGAGGATAGATACAGAAGATATATATAGGATATACAGTAAACTTGCGGGTGTCAGTTTATGAATATGCCAAATCAGTAGATCACATGAGATAACTTCAGATGTACAAAATCAATCAATGTGCTTGTTTTTTTCTTCAGCCAACTTGTTTTTTTTTATGTTATAGGCTATTTTAAACACCCAAATATTTTTTTAAATATATTTACTGTTATTATTTTAAATAAATGTATGTATAAATTTACACCATTCCGATCACTTCAGGTGTGGTGTACTTGGTATAGAACTTTTTTTTTAACCAGGTGATTAATAAAGAGGATGGTACTTGAATCATATTGTAGTTACATTTTTAAGTTGACTAGTTGAAAGAGAAAAAAAAAAAATAGAGATTTAAATTTTTTTGCCATATCGCCCAGCCCTAATGCATGTGTTTATTACCTTGTAATTTTTAATCAAAATGTGATAACTGGACTTCTCTCCGGTGACAAATGCCAGACTTTGTCCCTGCAGGCTTGCAAGCAATGACCACATATCAAAATCCAATCAAGAACCAATGGGTAGAACCAAGTCCCCACCCTACATTTTTTCTTTATTACATTACACTCGGAAGAAAATAAACAATCTTTTGTTAACTCTGTTTCATCGTGACAAAGAAATGCTATGTCATAAAATGAATAGGAAATATTTTAGATTGTGGACTATTTCTAGGACGCTCAAGATGCTCTTTGGGTCATCTCAAATCATGCTGGAGAACATGATTATCATCAGGTTTGACACACATTTGTAAAGTTTATGCAGTTCCTGTCATTAAAGCAAAAGAGGGACAAAGCAAATACAAAGAAATATTGAAAATTATGACTCAAATTGTTATGCTGAATTTTGTATTAAATTAGAAAACTGCAGAGGCATTTTCACTATGCTGGTCTCAGACATTTGAATGTCCCTGTCATTTCAATAGTCAGGTGTGGCATGGCTACCCTTAAAAGCCTTTAGAGATCTGCATGTTCAGCTCCTCAAACAAAAAAAAATAAAACCTGCACCCATAAATCTGCCCTACAACATCTCACACCTGAGAACTTTCATCTACAAAACAACAGAAAATGCTGAATAACCAGAAGGATCACCTATTTAAGTCTGTGAGTGAGTATAATGACCCTGAGACAAGTTTTCCTTTGTCCTTTTTAATAGTTCACTGATGAAGATGGGATATATGAAGCTTGACTTTACATACACATTAGGTGCGAGGCCGTTAACTCTAGGATTTTAGAGTCGTGCTTCAGAATTATCACATTTTCCCCTCTCGCTCCACCGTATTAATAGTTCAACTGAAATGTATGACTGAACTTTCAGGGAAAGAAAGGAAGAAAAAAAATGGATCAAACAAGGTACTACAATGCATTCATAATTAGACTAAACCTTTTTTGGAGGAATTCACCAACAACGAAAGTCGTTTTACAACATCGAGTTAATATTATAGTCTCTTTGTGGCTTGATATATATTTATATGGTTGATATTTGCAGCACCTGGAGAGGAAACTGAAAAGGAAGCTTTATTTCCTTTGTAAGGCAATTTTAGAAATTGACATACACAAACTAGTGCAGAAAAGCAAAAGTTTGAACAAATCTATTGTTTATTGGTGCAGTTTCACCCTCAAAATGGCAGACTTCCTAACTGAAACTAAACGCTTGATATGCAATTTTTAATGGCGATATTTTGCAAGATAGTAGTTGGTTTCATTCAGCACTACAAGGGGACCAATGTAGGGTCCTTTGAGGACACGTCAAAAATTGACCCGCCCCACAACCGACCTGATACTCTACTCTCTACTGTGAATGTGATCCACTTCATTGATCTTTTGAGGCTAACTTTCAAATCACGTCCAACGAACATAGCAATAGCAATCCCAAACCTGGTGACACAGTCGGACAGAATAAGCCGCCCGTTTGTTAAGCATGAGGTGTAAAAGCAAAAACTCAAATTTGATCACTCACAGTGGTCTGTTCCATTGTTTGACTGCTCTGACAGGAGGTGACAGTGACAGCTCCAAGTGTTAGCATGCGCTGAGATGCTCCTGTGTGACTGAGGGACTGAGATGCATGTTGTGGTGCAGCGCCAGCAACAGTTCTCGGCTGGGTTTTCGGGGTCGACAGCACAGGCCTCCTAAGAGAGGAACGTCTCTCTGTGCGTGGAGTAAGCTCCACCTCTGTCACGCTAACACACGCCCCACGGACTTCATCGACTGTAAACCTCAGCCATACTTCCTTTCCTGTAATGAACAGTGCATTTCTTATTATAATACATGATATCTTTCTCAGATAAACACAACACCGAATGAGGCTTTACGTCTTATCAGGCAAAACAGACAGGCTTTTCTATATCACACTTGTTCTAAATGAACGATGCCATAAACTTCTGGCAGAACGACGGCACGATCGGCTGTGAAATATAGTTTCCAAAGTGATTGTGTCATGTTTGAAAAGTGATCTACATCATTTGTAGTGTCAGACACATTTGTAACTTAATTTGGCAGTCATTTGATTCAGTGTTGGAAACTTGCTGTATATGCATGTTAACTTAATGTATGCCAGCATTTTCTGCCAGCTGACTTATTTTAAAGACTTTAATAAATATAAATATTAAAGTGGTTTATTTGACCTCATCACATCACCATCTATGAAATTAAATTGTGAAAAATGCATAATTCTAATAGAATTATTTTTACCATTAATTATATTATATTTGCATGAGACTTTTTTTTCGGTCTTTCTTTAGGTTTAATTTAGGTATTACTAAAGGTTCTACTAATGTTTAAAACTTCAAACTGTAAAATTGATATTCGGCCAAAAGTTTCAGCTTTCACAGCTGGTGAAAAATATATTCACTGGTAAAATAAACAATGTAATGGTTAAAGATAAGACAATTAGAGAATCTTTTAATGTAAAAAAAAAAAAAAAAACGTAATATGATTTTAAAAATATGATATAAATTTAATTTATTGAATAGAAAAATAATTAAAAACTTACAAAGAAAGAAATACATTATACTTTTTTTTCTTTTTTTGGAACAAGCTTCATGGAAAAAATTTTAAATGTTGAAAACCATGTGTCAGACAGGCTAAAATGTTACTTACATCACCCCACATTTTTGGCTTTCTCTTTTTTCCACTTCTTTTTTTACTTAGTAATTGCTGTAAGTGTTTGCCTTTTGGCAAAGGTGGTGTCCTGTTCTGCAAGACCTTCCCTGTCTATGTCTATGAGAAGACAAACAACCAGGACTAGTTATCTTCGGCTTCTGTACATCTACATATAAACATTCCTCTACATGGCAACAAACTGCACAAATATTTCTGAATTAGAACATCATGACAACTTACACACCTGCATACTAAACAGAACAAAATCCAGAAATTACTGAGAAAAATCACAGAAAATATATTTTTTTTGTTTTTAAAAAGTCTAGAACAAATATAGGAAGATTACAAATAAATGGCTTAATAACAAACTAGAGGAAGATACAAATAATTAAAGATACACCATATAAATTAATTATTTCAGAATGTTTCTCAGAGTTTATCTTTTTTTACAGTTATTAATGTTGCTTCTTTGTTTGCTCTTTAAAATGATCAAACACTCAAAAAATATTGTTGGTTTAACTTAAAAAATTAAGTAACCTGGTTGCCTTAAAAATTTAAGTTCATTGAAATGTAGCAATTGAGTTAATACAAAGAAGGAGATTGATTTAATCATCAGAAACTCAAAATACTATGTTATCTGAACTACATAAATTATTTAAGTTGATTTGACAAAAGAAAAAATGTTGTGATTACAAATCATGATTTTTTTTTTTTTACAGTGAACGAGCCATTTAAAACAAATTCAACCAATTAACAAACATACACAATTAACCAGTGAGTCTTTGACTATAAGAGGCTGTTGCATGTTTTCTTTTAAGACACTCATCATAGGAATGGCCAGGTCTCGGACTCATTGTCCCGTGCCACTTCAACCTGTAGACTAAGTTAAGGTCACATCTATTGACTGCAGTCCTCTGTCCGTACCTGAAGCCACCTGATAAATAGAGCTCGCCTCTGACAGGCGTGCGTGCAGAGAGAGCTCCATTGATGGATCAATGCATTCTTAACAGCAGTATTACATGTGTGTATAGAACATTCAAAGCTTTTGAGGTCTGTGGTCGTGACCATTGCAATCTCGGGTTAAGAACCTATAACTGTCCTGCGCAAACTCATGTCAAGCTTCCCACCTCAGGCAAGTCAAAGCAGCATTCCATACATCACACTCAATAATATGACGGGGCGAACTCAAATACCACGTCTAATCTTTTCCATTCTGCATAGCGGGGTGAAACATCATTTCCTTTCACCTCAGGCTTTTCCTAACGCTGTTGTTTACCACTGCAACATTAATCGGCAAAAAGTTGTGTTTGTTTGTGTATGTGCACTCGTGTACGGTTTCTAACCATTGGCGAAACATTTTTTTTCTGTCGTAAATGATGTGCTGTTGTTATCGTTCTCCCTTAAGACACCGCGAAAACATCTCAACACAAATAAAGAACAAAGAAAAGCTGTCTCGTTCTGCAAGCCACACTGCAAGAGCTCAACCAATGAGAGGTTCCTGTCAGGCAGCGTAAAGCCACCACCGGTGTTTTGCACGGTGTTGATTTGGTAAAGACACGACCGATTTACTGTACATTTGAGACAGGAAGTGGTCACGCCACCCCTGCTCCACTCCCACCTCTTACCCCTCCCCCTCACCACCTGTGCGAGTCTCACAGGATGCACACACATTTACACACCTCCAGCTGCACAAAGAGTAAAACCACATATCATACTTGTTTTTATTCATTCACACCTCAGTGCCCCACAAATCATCAATTTACTACAGAGAACGTAAAACGCCTCTCAGACAAAAACGGTTGTTTTGAAGGTTAAGTTAACAGTCAGTCAACGATGCATATTGAAATCATAATGGTGACAAAAAATAGTGACATTATAAAACGAATTACAGTAAGCGTGGTCCGCAAGTTGTTGAAAAAGGTTTCATTAGTTAACAGCTAGTTAAACTAAGAATGAACAATACTTTTACAGCATTTATGTTAATTTTAACAGTTACTAATACATTATTCAAATTCAAAGTATTTGTTAACATCAGTTGATGCACAGTGAACTAACATGAGCAAACAATGAACAGACATTAATAAATAGTAAATACAGTAGCAAATGTATTGCTCATTGTTAGTTCATATTAGTTAATGCATTAGTAATGTTAATAAATAAGACCTTATTGTAAAGTGTTAACAAAGATAGATATAAATGATTTTTTATTAAATGCTAAAACACTTAATAATAATTAAACATTTAAAATCCTTTAATATTAATGATATTTCATGATTAATAAAATGCATTATTCATTTATTTTTAATTATAAAGATTGTAAAAACACAGGTAATAGTTATATTACGCAAAAAAATAATAAGACTAATAAACATTTATACCAAGTTATTATTCTAAATATTATTTTAATTTTCAAAAAACATCAACACAAATAATAATAAATGAAATAAGAAAAAAAAACATTTCCTAAACACTATGAGAAACTGTGGTCACCCTCCAGATCGCCTTTTTTTCAAACCTTCGAAGCATAGTGTAAAGTCATAAATCCAACAAACTTACAATTTGAATATTTCTTTATTTTTTTTACACGCACAAACATGAAATTTGAAAGCGTGTTAAAACCTCAAAGTTGCGTAAAGCTTTACAACTTGAGGTTGGTCTATCCATCACTCCTCAAGAGTGTTAAACACCACTGACTTGTTTGTACTGACACTGCTGAAAGATTATTATTTATTCTTGATTATTCATACAAACGTTCATCATTTGCAGATGTTTCCAATAGACCGCTGTGTAAAACAACCTCCACACACACAATGGGAATGTTTTGTTCTTCGTTCTGAAGTGCAAAGCAATACAAATAAATCCGTCTGGGAGGAATTCTGACCTTTGCCAGATCCGACGTTCCCTCTGAGTGCAGTCCGCCTGCTGAGTCGCTCTGGCAAAGGGAAAACAACTCGCCACACAGGGGTCACGCCTAATGCCCTCCCTCGCTCACACACGCCAGCTCTGATTCTCCTTTTACTTGCCGTCTCTCTCTCTCTAAAACAATGATCTCACTCACTTACCAGGAATCCGCTGATTGTTTTAAATACCTTCCACTCTTGCGGACTCAAGTCACTTTTTCCCATCCAGAAAAAAAAAAAAAAAAAATGGCGGAGAGGGGGAAAGAATATGACCTTGGCAGGAAGTTCAGTATCTAGCATGCCTGAGACACAGTTCACTCGGGCTCTTAGCCGACATTGTTTGAAATTACTGCTGTCCCATGCAGCAATCCAATACGCAGTAATGGAGAAAAAGTAAGAGGGAACGAGAGGGAGAAAGAGGTCAAAAACATCCACATTTTTCTGCAAGTTAGGGTTGGCTGAAAATCTAAGGAATTCCAAAATCAAGTTGCCAAGGTGAAGGAACCGTCTATTTTGTTATTTCAATCTAAGCATTTCTCTGACGAAGAGGTTTTGACAGCATAGCTGTGGTATGTTCACCTGGGATAAGCCTCGACAGGGCATCCAATGACGCAGAGAAGCGGAGAAAAAAACATCAGCACTTCTGTAAATCTGACTTCTGCTGGCACAGATACCCAGATCTGGACTTTGAATCATTCACAAACGTATATGGTTCGGGTGTGTAACCTGTTGTAGCAGCATTTCACATTACCCCTGGAAAACTCTATTTTTCAAATATGCTAAAATATGCAGGAAAGCATTTGATACCGTCATCATGACAGATGGGGGAGAGAGGAAAAAAGAAAAGTAACAACAAAACACATTTTCCAGGCTGGGCGGCACTAGAGTGTGTGTGTACATGCATGTGCTTTAGTGAGTTTTGTGGTATAGTGTGTAGGTTATATTTAGACGGAGCATCAATATTGACATTAGCACAGTGCGTATGACTCATCTGTCCCGACACAGTCCAGTGACACCCCTGCCCTCCCCCACAGGTTTCCTTAGCCCTATTGTGGTGTGAAACCATTTTAATTTGTGTGGGTGTGTGTGTAAGCAACAATGTGTGTCCATGTATGTATGAATGTTTGTATATATATATGTAATTGCCTGAGGCTATGCCTGGCCCATATTCACAGCAGCACTTGGACTGGCTGTTCACTCGGGTCACTGATTGCCGGTTTGTCATTTCTGGAG